TGTCTGGCTTGCATCCTCAGTACTCCGTGCTTCTGCTCAGCATGAGTGGCCGTGCAGGGGTTTGGCGCGTGCAGTGGTTACCCTTCAGTGAAGTGGCCATCCTGTTTGATTTGACATTATTGACCACCCACTCTCCTCAGCTTGAAACTCTCCTCTCCGTAAGTGCAATTCCAGCAGCCTTTCCCGTAGAGGGTTTCTTCTGTAATTGCTCCTTTGCAGTTGTCTTCCTAGGTTGCTGTTTCTCAATTTAAAGGTTGTTGCTATTCTCTAGTATTTCTTTCCCAGCTCCAGAAATTTCTATCTCAGTTTCCGTCTTTCAGCTCAGACCCCTTTCCTTAGCTTCTGGCCTACATCCCGCTCCCTGCAGGACAGTCATTCAGAGCGAGGGTAGGTCACTCTCCTCATCTAGTCACCACCTCACCCTCTCCTCTCCGCGGCTTCACGGCTGTCCTGGCATCCTGGTCCTGGACTTGGCATCTGAGAGCACCTCTCTGGCTTCTACTTTCATGTCCTCTGGTTACAGAACCCCAGAAATCCCAGCCAGGGGCCTCTTTCCCAGCTCAGGTCCCTGAAGTGTCATGCAGTGCTAACAAAGGCCCTCCTGGAGCCAACTGTGTCCCTGGGGTGGACCCCCTCTGCCTGCAGGTAACTCGAGCGCCCTCTTCCATGGGAGAGGCTAGACAGAGCTTGACAGGGTTGAGCCGTCAGGCCCACATACAAATGTGAATCCCCTGGTGACTTAGGCAGAAGCCAGAAGTCAGAAGAGGATGACACAGGGGACCACCATTGGTCCTTTTCTTACAAGGTTCGATCTGCATTAGGGGCAGAGAGCTTACTGTTGCTCTCCCTTTCTCTTTATTCCGGACACAGTGTGGTGCTGGCGGTGGGCTCACTCAGCAGTGCTGGGGACTGCGGGATCAAATCCAAGGATTCTTAAGGAAAATGACTTTAACTTTTTAATTTTCTTTTAGTTTTGTCACCGGGCCTAACCAGTAAGTACTCAGTTCATGCTTTTTGAATGAGTTGAGTAGCACAGCTTGTGTGAAGAATATGATTGTTTCAGCGCTGTAGTCAATTTGAAGTTTACAGTAACTTCCATATGGTTTTATTTTTGTCTTAGGATCAACATTTTTTTTATTCTGAAAAATATACCTCTAATGTTGTATTACTATTAAACTAAGTTTAATGTTTTTTTTCTTTACATAACTGAATTTTAAATTTAAAAATTAAATTAAATTAAAGGCTCTCCTGTTGATCGTCGATTTGCTCGAGCAGGCCCAGTAACGTCTCCATTGGAGACTTTGTTGTTACTGTGTCTGGCATGTTGAATACTCTCGGTAGCTTGCCGGGCTCTCCGAGAGGGGCGGAGGAATCGAACTCGGGTCGGCCATGTTGGCCGCTTGTAAGGCGAACGCCCTACCCGCTGTGCTATCGCTCCAGCCCTCAGGAAATCTAAAGGTAAAGGTAAAGGTAAAGGCCCTCCCGTTGATCGTCGATTTGCTCGAGCGGGCCCAGTAACGTCTCCATTGGAGACTTTGTTGTTACTGTGTCTGGCATATCAAATACTCTCGGTAGCTTGCCGGGCTCTCCGAGAGGGGCGGAGGAATCGAACTCGGGTCGGCCATGTTGGCCGCGTGTAAGGCGAACGCCCTACCCGCTGTGCTATCGCTCCAGCGCTGTGCTATCGCCCCATTAAAATGATGAATTTTAAATTTATCATATATATATATGAAATAACTGTAAAACTCTGTAACCTACCAGTAGGTGGCAGAAAATGATGATATCAAACAAATATAAAAGTCTCAATCAAGCAGATGAGCATTATTTTGTCATGGTTATAGTTCATCCATGCTTATAATAGACTCATCAGTAACTGCTGAGCGCTAAGGGATGCCAGACTACAAGTGTGAGAAGAAAACAGAACTTGAGTTCTGGACCGTGAACCCACGCTGGGAAGAGAGGGGTGAGTGGATCTGGTGGGTCAGCCCCAGCCAGCCCTACCCCGGGAGCTCATTTCTAAGGACATTGTCCATGAGGACTTTTTATGGAGTGGGCGGGGGGAGCCTCCCAGCAGTGCTCAGGGCATCTGTGGGTCACCACTGAAGATACCAATGGTCGTTTTAATTCCTCAGACTTCTTTTTTTTCCTCTTCACTTTAGGCATTAATATTTCAACACTGATGCCACGACCAGTGTCAGCTTCCCTCACAGTTCTCCCGTACTCCGTACCCACCCTATCCCCACCTCATAACAGACAGATTACAGAGTCCCAGTAGTTGCAGCTTAGATCTCATGTTTTCAGTTTGTTTGTTTTTTTTTGAGTCTGTGTTTGGGTATATGACTACACCACTCACCCATAATCACCCGTGCAACTGAAGCCCTGATGTGTGTTCACCCCTTACTTCCCATTCTCTTCTTCCCCTTCTTGATTTCTTTCCTTCTCTGTCCTTCTTCTTTCTAACCACAGGGGCCAAGGGTGATCTAGGCATCCTCCTTCTGCTATAATACATTTCCTCATTCCGTCTTCTACATACCACAGATAAGTGAGGTCATCCTCACTTTTGTGTTTGTCTTTCTTCTTCTGGCTTACTTGACTCAGCATATCATCTTCTAGTTCCAACCACGTTGAAGCAAATTGCATGATTTCATCATTCCTTGGAGCTGCGTAGTATTCCATACATCCCACATCTTTGTAACTCATTCATCTGTCGTTAGACACCTAGGTTGATTCCACATCTTAGCTACTGTACTGAGTGAAGAAATGAATAATGGCGTGCACATGGCCTTTTGAGGGTGTGTTTTTGTCTGGGGGTTGATGCCCCAAAGTGGATAATTCCTAAGACATTCACTGTGATAATTCACGTGTGTTCTCCCAGCACCCCTACTCAGTTACCTTACAGGCCTGAGAGCCTTTCTGAAATGCCCTGATGCTCCACTGGCTGCTACATTAGCACATGGGCAATGTTGTTGTGAGGAATATTAGTTGAGAATTAAATGAGCTAAGCATAAGTGACCCTTGTGTTATTGTGAGTTCACCTAAGGACTCATAGGTTTGCTGTTTGGAAATGTGATTCCACTGAGTGGTAACAACGTTTCGTCATGATAGTTTGAATTTTATACCTTAACTTCAGGAATCATGGTACTTTATGATTCGTTGCCTATTTTATTAATTATTTGTTTCCTCCGGGTTCTTTTTCTCTCACGATTCTTAGACATAGTAAAATCTACTCATTCCAACTATTCTCCTTCTGAGTGAGATGGATCTCTTGGGAATCCCTCATTAAAACTTTAATAGTCGAAAACCAAAGCACTTTCCTTTGAAGCCATCACCCTGATTGCATGGCATCACAAGTCATGATTAAAACTTCTAATGACCCTGTTTCAAGAATATTTTTATGTTGAAATTGCTGTGTGTCAGCCTGATGTCCACTGACTTGTAGGGGAGGGATTTGCCTACATAAATTCTTTGTGTCTTCTAAAAAAAATAGTTATTCTTACAAAAACCTTATCTTCAATATTTTTCCTTAATTTAGTATATTAATGGTTGATGGAACTATTTTTCCTTCAAATTTTCCACAATTTACAAGGATCTGAGCAAACCTAATTCACATTTTTCACTTCCCACTTATAGTGAGACTTCTGCGTTAAGGGCCTAATTCTCTCCCACATGTATGTTTATCATTATTTTTTCTGCGTTCAAACAACTTTTTTAAGTGACTTAGTGTGGCAGTTGTTTAAAGCAGATCTGATCTCCCTTATGATGCTTGAAAACCAAAACTAGCAGGAGGAAAAAAAGAGTTTCAAAGCATTATCACACAATCTGCCCCTCCCTTTGCTCTGACTCCCGGAAAGGTTTGGCTCACCTCCCTTTTCTGCCTTGGCTTTCTGGACTTCTGCCTTTTTTCATATTCAGTGTTACTCTGGACTGTGACTGTAAATTGGGGGAAACGGGGGGATAGATTTGGTCAGGAGCAACAGGACAGATCACTACGTAGAATATTGAGAAAGATAATGAATGAAATGGAAGCAAGAAACTACACAAATTTAAGAGCCAAGTCACAGGCAAGTTCTTTTTTTTTATTTGGAGGGCGGTGGTGTGGCGCACCCAGTGGTGCTCAGGGATGGTGGTGCTGGGAATGCAACCTGGGTATCCCACGTACAGAGCGTATCTTCGAGTTCCTAAAAGTGCATGGAATCTAGTGATTCTCCAGTTACTGTTCCTTAGCAGATACTTAATAAATACTTCTTGAATTTGACTATTACCCTCATTGTATGGGAGAAGAAATGGAATCCCAGCAAGATTTATTGCTACTTTGTTACACTGGAAGCCAGGTTTTCCAGTTTCCTTTCATATCCAGTTTCTTTTATTATTATTATTATCATTATTATTATTATTATTATAAGACACTGACTATAATGTGACTGGGGATGTGGCATGGCAATAAATGGGGTACTGGCTCACTGGCTCCCGGCCATCAGTACTCACTACTCCACAGCTACGGTCCCTTTTACCACCTGACCCAGGCACAATATGCTGTCCTGAACATACCTTGTATGTTGTGATAGGCTGTACCGTCCACAGGGCTCTTTCTAGTCTGCTTATGGGTAGCAGCTTAAAGGAAAGAGTGGGCTTGGCCATCAGACCTGGGTCTGGAGCTTCACTTCACTTGTGTACTTTTGGGCAAGTTTCTTCAGTTTCCTATCCCAAGGCTTTCACATCTGCCACTTAGTACTACAACGAATTAAAGTTATTGGAAGAATTTAGTCTGGCATATGCATAAAACAGAGTCTTCAGAAAGTACTTGAGTAGTGACAAAGGAGAAATGAAGGCCTCACTTGGGTTTCCTCTGGGGGCATCAGCATTACCTTACCTTTGAGATGGGTCATGTTCTTGACAAATTTGGATACTCATTGCCATACTCATCCAGCTGTTGGGCTACTTTTTGTCCAGGAAATGCCCGTTTTTTGCTGCCTCACAGCCTTCTCATTTTTTTATTGCAGACTGATCCACGGAGGACAGCTGTTAAACGGTTTGGCAGGGCCCACTGTCATGAATGCAGCTCCCTTCCTCTCCACGACATGGTTTTCTGCAGACGAACGTGCCACGGCCACAGCCATTGCCTCCATGCTCAGCTATCTCGGTGGGGCGTGTGCATTTTTGGTTGGGCCACTTGTTGTCCCAGCTCCAAATGGGACATCACCACTTCTTGCTTCAGAGAGTAGCAGGGCACACATTAAAGATCTCATAGAGACTGTATTATACGCAGGTACTTTGAAATGTGTTGTCTTTGTGTTATCATTGTCATTGTAAACTGCTTTCTGTAGGCCAGTCAGTTCACATTAATGCTTCAGCCAGATAATAGATACATGTGTGTGTATGTGCTTTCCTTCCCATCTAATACAGAGGACTCCCAGATTCTCCCCAACCGTAAGTCACTGATATGAAGATGCTTATTCTTTTTTTCCTCTATTTAAGAAGCTGATATATCATTGGTTTACAATATTATAGCTTTAGGGGCTTCTTTTCACATCTCTGTATATATGCAGTTCTCACCGCTCTACCACCAAAGTTCTGGTGTCTTCACAGAACCTTTAAAGATCCTTCCCCATTCCCAGAGGCACCTAGAAGAGCAGTCTTTTTTTTTTTTTAATTTTGCTTTTTGGGTCACACCTGGTGATGCACAGGGGTTATTCCTGGCTCTGCACTCCACACTTATTCCTGGTGGTGCTCAGGGAACCATATGGGATGCTGGGAATTAAACCCAGGTCGGCTGTATGCAAGGCAAATGCCCTACCTGCTGTACTATCACTCCAGCCCTAGGGCAGAGTCTTAAAAGGATTTTGGTGAGTTTGATTTGTTTTGGAGGGTCTCCCTTTAATTCAGGGTCACACTCGTTGTTGTGGAAGACACACTCTGCAGTGCTCAACCTGTACTCTCATCTTTGAACCATCTCCCTGACTCTCAGACCTGTAGTACCTTTTGCTAGGTATACAAATCTAGAAATAGAATTATCCAACTAAAAGAACCTCTCAGTAATAATCACTTTAGCCCGTGAAGGTAAGGCCAGTCCCTTACTTGATCACCTGCAAAAATAAAGCATTCATTATTGAAATGACAGTTAACAGCATGGGCCCATCTGTACTCCTAGTGTCATGACTTTCCCACCAGAGTCCTGCTTCTCCAGTGAACAGGGAAGTCAGCAGAAGCTGGGCTGCCCTGCCAGGCCCAGAGGGAAGGATCACTGCTGAGAACCTTGCTTTCTGCAGTGGTGCCAAACTAACCATCATTTGGGTGTTTATTGTACTTCTGACTAATGCTCCACATAACTAGACTTGAGTTTCTTAAATTTTGCTGTTTCTTGGTTTCCTGGTTTGGGGATACTTTCCTGTTTTTGTTCAAGTTTGTCATACCGATCATTTACTAAATCTGTGCTATAAACAGGATTACTTAAGATGTTTTCCATTCAATATATGGAATGGAAATAGGATCCAGGATCTATTTGCCCTATAATATAAACATTAAAAGTTAAAAGTTAAAAAATTTTGTGACCATGAAAAAAAATTTATAAAAAAATGAAACGTTTTCCATTCACAACCTCTTTTCATTTAAGAAAAGAATTGGGATAGTGGGCGGCAGTGGTTCGGGCCACATCCCGCTGTACTTGTGACTTGCCTGTGGCTCTGCTTAGGGCTCACTCTTAATGGTGCTCCGGAGACCCTGTGCATTGCTCAGGTTTGAACCCTGGCCATGTGCAAGGCGACTGCCTTAACCCTGTACTATCTCTCCAGGCCCCTTAAGACATTTATGCAACCCCAAGTATCTTCATATGTAAAATAGGCATGAAAAACACACATTTACTGACAATAACTATAAAGAAGCTTTATTTTAAAACTTCCCATAGTTAGTAACAAGACCCTTCATGCTGTTAGAGCACAGTTTCAGAAGCTGGTCAAGGGACTGGAAAGAGGGTTATGAGCATGTGCCTAACCCAGTTCAGTCTTGGGCACCAGGGAGCATCTCTGGGTGTGGCCCTGCCAGCTCCCAACACCACCACTTAGGCCCCAGCACCACAGAACCCAAGCAGCATATCCTTCCCCTTCCCCCCTCAAGCACACATACGCATAAATATGCTGATCTGCACTGTGTAGCAGATTAGCATATTATTGGCCATCCCCTCTTGTTCTTAACTTCCTCTATCCTCTTTTTCTGAGGACCACACTTAGTCATCCTAGATCTATTTCGATGTTTTCTCCATGGAGTAACATTTATGGTTTCTGTGACTGAATGGTTTTAACTAGCACCTTCAAGATAAGTTCACATTCATTTAAGATCATTTAAGATAGTTTTATCTGTGTAGTGTGCCATAGTCCGCCATTTCCTTTGCATTTTCTATGACTCCTTATTTAGAACTTGCTGAAATTTTTTGTTGTTGCTTTTGTTTTGGGTCACACCCAGCAATGCTCAGTGGTTACTCCTGGCTTTGTACTCAGTAATTATACCTGGTGGTGCTTAGGAGACCATATGGGGTGCTGGGATTGAATCCTTGTTGGCTGAGTGCAAGCAAACACTCTACCTGCTGTACTCCTCACCCCAAAATCTGCTGAAATTGATTACTTCAATTTCACAAAATTCACCTTAGCTAGGTACTATATTTTGTCTTAAATATATTTATATGGCTAGAGCTTAGTTACTGTTTAATAAATACTTATTAGATACAAACTTGAAATATTGAACCTTTTTACTCTCTGGTCAACATTGTACTTTTTTTCCCCCCAGAATTTGGAGTTGTCTGCTTGCTATTTTCTGCGACACTAACTTATTTCCCATCCCGGCCTCCTCTTCCTCCCAGTGTTGCAGCAGCTAGTCAGAGGCTGAGTTATCGGCGGAGCTTTTGCAGATTATTAAGGTAAATGTACTTCCTGTCATTGAGATGTTTTAACTAGCACCTTCAAGATAAGTTCACATTTATTCAAGATAATCTTTCAGCAACATGTTAATCGGGTTGTAAATAATTTAGAAAATATTCATATCTTAGGGGGTCACCAAAATACTACTATAAATTTTGATTTTTCATATTTTTAATTCAAATAGTTTTAGAAGAAAACAAATCATTGAGTACCTATAAGATCAGAATCTTACATTTATTGTATCTTTTTCTAATATGCAATATATTTTATTTATTATGTATTTTGTAGTACACATTAAAATGGGCAAGTGTTGGTTAATACAAGATGAAAAAGATGAATAATGTTTGTTTACATATTATCTCTTTCCTCTGTAGGATCATACTTTTGTTTAGTTTTATTTGTGTAATAATGCAATTGCATTTAGTCCTACCACTGAAGTCCAAAATGCCCCAGTATTGAATTTGAGTCTTTGGATATATAGTATACCATTGATGATTGATTTACAGTTGAGCCATAAACTTAGCATTTGAACAAATATTCCCATTTAATTGTGGTGAGTTTTTAATTGATTCATCAGCTGCTCTCCCAAGTTGGTTCTTTCCTTTCAAGTCTTCCTCTTCTAAAAGATGATAAGTTCCTGTTGTGGTCAATAACTGTGGCTTTGTGTTCTTTAAAAGGAGTATAAAGTGTACCATTTCTGTAATTTAAATTTTTCTAGATAGTCTCATTATTTGAAGTAAAATAATGAAGTAAAATTAACTTCAGTGGCGCATTTCATTTAACCCAGCATATCTCAAATATATTGCTGTTTTCACTCAGCTTAATTCTCTGGAAAGTCATCTAGGTTGTTTTATTTATTAATAGCTATTGCTTTTCATTACTGAGTAGTAATAGTTTATGATATGGATGTACATCTTTTGTTAAATATTCACCTGTTGAAGGACATCTGGGAAATTTTACAAAATAAAACTGCTGTAAACATTTGAATACAGGTTTTTACAGCTGACTTACATTAGTTTTCATTTCTATGGGATCAGTGCCCAGGTATGCAACTGCTGGGCTGTGTGGTCCTTGCAGGTTTTGTTTGTATTTTAAACATCAAGTCATTTTCCAAAGAGGCTATACCAGTTTTCATTACTGTGAGCAATATTTGAGGCATCCAGTTTCTCTGCATCCTGTAGTTTTACCATTGCATTTTTATATTAACCATTTTCATAAATACAGCAATATTTAATTTCTGTAAAGTGCAGTTAACATTAAGAAATTAAGATACACATACTTTTTGACGTAGGAATTCTGCTTCTAAAACTTGAAGTACACTCCAATGTACTGACTTACATGTAAAATAACTGTAAAAACAAAAGAATAAATTAGAATTATATATGCATCTGCATGTATATATCAGTAGGAGTGAATCACTAAGTCATGACACATCAATGTAATGGAATACTTGGGGAAAGTGTCATACATATATATATACATATATATATGTTTGTATTCATTTTTAAATATTCCTGAGAAATATGCCATGGGTGAACATGAAAGAGGTAAGAAGTAAAAGGGGAGGTATTTCCTCATATTCTTGTACCTTTTGGGTTTTAAGCCACTTGAATTGCATTTTTATTAATACAGTTTAATATTAAAAAACAAAAATTAAACCTGTTATCTTAAAATATCAAAACTAGAAAACTAGGGGACAGAGAGATAGTGTGGTGGGTAGGGCACTTGCCTGGCACACTGCTCACCTGGGTTCAATCCTTGGCACCTCATACAGTCCCTCTATCCTGCCAGGAGTGATCCCTGAGCACAGTTCCAGTAGGAAGACCTGAGCATTGCTGGGTATGGCCCAAAAACAAAATGAAGAAAAGAGCTTTTTCTTTTTCACACGCATACACACACACACACACACACACACACACACACACATATATGTATATCTTTAATGTTATTTTTATAAATTTGTTCATGATGGTTTATTACATTCAATTTTCCAACCCAAATCCCACCACTATTATTTCCAGTTTTCCCAGCCACCACCAAAGTCCACCCCAATACCCTACGTTATTTTATATTGCTCGTTATGAATAATTCACTAAAAATAATCAAAAAAGATTTCCTTAGAAGAATCTTTTTGTGAAGAGTGTTGTATCTCACCCTGGAGCCATTAAGCCCTTGTATAAGAGATTACTAACATGTTGTTACAGGTTGAACCTTGTGTGTTAATATTTTCTTAATCGAGATTTGGTTGCCTTCTACTTTATATTCCATCCAGTGTGGTGTGCTACTCCTGGTATATCAGTGGTGTAGAGTTTGAGATGTATTCACACTGTGTGCTCCAGGAAGTTCAAAATTTTTAATGGGGTGGTACAGCAGGAGTTAATTTTTACTCGATAGTGATTTGAGGGTCTGGAAGCATCTCAGCAGCTTGTTGATCTCTTCTGAGATATATTGTAGTCTTTGGATCATGGCTGGTTAATGAACTTATATGATACAAGAGGCAGTTAATGGGGGTGAGTGCCAGGCTCCTGGTAGAGCAGGGAGATGGGGAGAGGCAGCCTATCCCTGACTTCTTGAGAGCCTGGCGATTTCAGTCACACAACCCGCATATTGAGTTTTTCAATAGAGTCGTTCCTGAATGAGTCTTGTCCCAAGGCTGTGGAGTCTGGTGGTGACCAAGGTGGGGATTGGAGTATGGAGTTTTCAGTTGCCAGGGCTCTGTTTGGGTGGGTGGTGGGCTCACCTTCCCTCCAGGGTGCCCCGGATATGAGATTCAGCCTAGTGCAGGATTTTGAAGCATCTCTGCAGAAAATTATATATATTTTTAACCTTTTTTTTTTCTCTACCTTGTTCATAGGGAAAATCGGTAATTTATGTTTTCAAATAAGAATTTTTAAATTGAGCCTATCATTCCATCAATTAATGTTGGTAATTTATATTAAATATTAATCATTTAAAATGATATGAACAAATATATTCTTACAAAAGTTTAAAGAATTTTGAATTTAATAAGCTGACACATCTTTTATATATCTCATTCTGGTGTTCCAATTTCCAAAGTATTTTTCATGAGTAAGAGTTTAATCTAGATTTTGAATTTGCAATGATTTATATTTTATTTCTCCTGTAGCAATTTGAGGTTTCTGATGATTGCTTTAGCATATGCCATACCCCTTGGTGTATTTGCCGGCTGGTCTGGAGTTCTGGATTTGATCTTAACACCAGTGCATGTCAGCCAAGTAAGCGTTGTATTTCTTTATATGTTCTATGTATAGTTAGGCCATTTAAATTATATGTATTGTTTATATCTTTTTGGTTTTAGCTTCAAGGTTAAGGAAAGCATCCTGTGCTATTGTTGCAAAAGCAAGAACCTTATAAGATAGTTGTAAAAATATTTGATTTTTTTCTTGGATTTTGCTTACAATCATGAACTTCACATTTATTTGAATGTTACTAGTGATGCAAGTGAACAGAAAAATGAAAGGCAAGTTATAGTTTTACTCTGTCCCTTACTATTGCATCATACCATAAAAAAGATGATGATCACATCATCCAAGAAATCATATCAAATAAATGGCTATTCCTATATCACCGATTTCTCACTTTCTCTCCAGTTTCAGAATGAGGATATCTTAAAAGGTAAAAGGCCCTCCCGTTGATCGTCGATTTGCTCGAGCGGGCCCAGTAACGTCTCCATTGGAGACTTTGTTGTTACTGTGTCTGGCATATCGAATACTCTCGGTAGCTTGCCGGGCTCTCCGAGAGGGGCGGAGGAATCGAACTCGGGTCGACCATGTTGGCCACTTGTAAGGCGAACGCCCTACCCGCTGTGCTATCGCTCCAGCCCCCAAGGGATATCTTATTCTTTTAAAATAAACAATTTTGAGACCAGAGAGATAGTTGCAGGGGTTAAGAGAGTTCATCTCAGGCACCTGGTGACCCTCAGAGCACTCCTGGGAGCAACACCCCCATGCCAGCATAGCCTCAGGGGCAGTCCCCAGCACACACATCCCCTCCCAGTTTATTTTCATTTTATTTATTTAGTTAGTTATTTATTGCTCTTTTGGGTCACACCCAGCGATACACAGGGGTTACTCCTGGTTCTGCCCTCAGGAATTACCCCTGGCGGTGCTCAGGGGACCATATGGGATGCTGGGAATCGAACCCGGGTCGGCCGTGAACAAGGCAAACGCCCTGCCTGCTGTGCGATTGCTCCAGCCCCTCCCAGTTTATTTTAAATGAGTACATAAGTAAAACGTAAAATATTGCCTAATGCCAGATAACAGCTTTTCCTGCTTGCTTTCAGGTAGCATGATAGAAAGTTGTAAAGAGAGATTTGGAGTAGTAAGTGGAAGAAATCCAGCACATTAGTGTATGTTGTTTATTGTATGATGAACATACAAACTTTTGATGAATGTTTGGATTTCTTACAGTTTTTGACTACACTTATGAACAGTGAATGATAAATACATACCAACATATATCTAGGAATATCTAGGAATGAAATTGTATGTAGAGTTCGTGCCTGCTTTGATTTATGCTAAAAGTCTCCCAAAGTGGTTTTGTCAGTTTATAGTCATACCTATAGTACATGAAATTTCTTATTATTACCCATCTTTACCAATATTTGGCAATGTTTATGTTTTTAAATTTAGACATTTTCATGACTGTGTAGCTGTATGTTGTTGTAATAACTTCCTTGATATCTTTTTAAATATTTACCAGATATTTAAATATCCTTTTTTGTGACGCACAAAGCTTCACATGCCTTTCCCTGTATTGGTTGCCTTTTACTGATTTTGTTTGTTTGGGTTTTGTTCTCTTCGGGGGCCACAACTGGCAGTGCTCAGGGCATACTCCTGGTTCCACAACTGAAGGATCATTCCTGGTGGGATTTGGGGGACCATTGGGATGCTGGGACTGAATCTGGGTCAGACACATGCTGTACCTGCTGTACTATCTCTCCAGCCCCACCTTTTACTGATTTTTGAAGAAGACGGTACAAAGAGGGCTCTGGAAGACTGTGTGGATGTCCCTAAGACTTGGCTGAGAAGTGGACTGTACCAGTGTAGCTACCACAGACTTAAAGAGTGTGCTACAGGATTGGAAGGCAAGCAGAGCTCAGTTCTAGCCAGGCCCGGGAGCTTGGGCTTCATGCTGAGCTCTCAGAAAGTCCCAACTTTAGAATCAAGGACCACAACCTGGTAGAGTTGAGATTTATACTAATTGGATTTTCTATAAACAAAACCTAAAACCAAGCCCTGAGAGAAATCTACTTTTAAGGTAGATTTCTAAGAGTTAAATTTCCCTTTTTTTTTCCCATACAGATATCCATGAACCGAAAATCAATTTTTGAAAATACTGTCTTTCTACATTGTTTTCTAGTACCATATTTATCCTAATAAAGCACCCTTTATTAGGTGCTCTATTAGGCATGGATGTGCTTTATAAACTACTTTTTCCTTTGGTCAGTTTATCTTTGTGCCAGTGCCAAATTGTCTTAAAGTAATCTAGCAATACAATCAGTTCAGATATCTACTAGAATAGTCTCTTCATTAGGATTTTTATTTGAATTTTAATTTATATATCTATTTGAAAATTACCTTCTTTATTGTATTGAGTCTTCCAAACTATGAATATAGTTGTCTTTATTTACTTAGGTTTTAATGTTTCTGAACGGTGATTTATAGTTTTCTATAAATATGTCTTCTATATATATTTTAGATTTATTCTCAGATATTTGACATATTTTGAGGGACTCAGGGGACCATACCCAGAGGAGCTTTGGGGCTTTTCCTGACACTTTGCTTAGGGAGTCACTCTTGGTAGTGCTTGGGGAACACATTGGCTGGAGATTGGATCCTGAATTTAGTGGCAGCTTACAAAGCAAGCACTTTAGCTTCAGAACTGTCTCTCTGGCCCCAGAATTTTTGAAGCTATTGTAATTTGTAACATAAAATTTTAATGTTAATGGATGAAATACATGCATGACATACAAATACATAGGATACAAATGTGGTTAACTTTTGCAAGTAATTGAAATACAGCTGATCTTGTATCCAGCAATCTAATTAAAGTCACTGTATTAATTTAGTCATAGATACTTTGGCTTCTCTATGTATATACTCCTATCACTTTTTTTCTTATTCTAGCTTGAAGATTTTTGTATTATCGCTGGAGTACTTAGTCCATTTACATGTAATATAACAGTTGATAAATTTGGATTTAGCTATACTATCTCATCATTTATTTTCATTTTGGCCAGCCCGTCTCTATTCTTTTTCTCTTCTGTCTTGCCTTTTTCTGAATTAAGTATATTTTTATTAGTCTATTTTTCCTCTCAGCATGGTATTTATAGAGTTTTATACTATGTAGTGGTTAATCTACAGTACAAAGGCACATTTGGCATATCAACATCTATTGAATATTGAACTTTACCTCTTCCAGAACAGTTCAGGGCCTAGAAATATTTCAATGCATTTTGATTTTCTCTGCTATATGCTGTTATTGTCACCTATTTAAGACTACACAGAACATTGTTGTTTTTTATATAAACAGTATTCATTTGCATGCACCTTCTGTTGCTCTTCATACTTTACCTTCAATCCTCAGTCCATAATCATTTCTATTTTTTTAAGAGTGTGTGTGTGTGTGTGTGTGTGTGTGTGTGTGTGTGTGTGTGTGTGTGCGCACACTTTTTTTATTTTGGCTTGAAAATATCTTCATTTCACCTTGTTTGTTTTTGGTGCTGAGGGCTTACTCCTGGCTCTGTGTCCAGGTATTCACTACTTGGGGCTCAGGAGAGACCATATGGGGTGCAGGAGGTTGAGTCCAGGTCGGCTGCCTGCAAAGCAAGTGCCCTACAGCTGTACTAATGCTCTGGCGGCTCACCTTCATCTTTAAGATGCTTATCATCGAGCATAAGTCCTTGATTGACAACTACTTTCTTCTAGTTCTGTGAAAATACTGTTTCCTTTCCACTTTCTTTCTCAGTTCCAAAAAGAAAAATTGTAGCACTTAAAGATACCAGTTTTCCTAGTGTTTTCCACTGTGTACAAATTCAGAAATAGTGACCATGAATCATACCCACATATTAAATAATGTACAATTTAGACTGAAGTGACAACAAAAATATTAAAGCAGAGAAAAGAATTTGGAGTAATTATGGATAAAACATTACTAAAGCAGCAGGAACTGCAGAGTATGACATGGCCTGAGAGAACCAGGATCCGATGGTCAGACGTGTGGTTCTGAGTCTGGCATAGCCCTGCTCATCTTGTGGATAGAGAAAAATGACAGAGACATTTGTGTAGGGCAGAATTTTCTTGCCCACGTGCCAGTGGTATGAAGATTACAGTGTAGGGTGATTTAAACTAAGGGTGTTATCTTTCTCCAGAGAGCATTTCTGGCACTAAATGCAGTTCTGGCAAAAATCTTGGATAAGCTTTTTGTATTACTTAGTTAGGCTAAGCTGCTGTAAGATGTAGAATCCCCAAATTCTGAGCCTTAAGAAGCTATTGATCCACACGGTGTGCAGAGCAGTTTGCCTGATAATGTAAGACAGTTGTCCACAGACGGGATAACTCTTTCCCTTACGCTGATTCAGAAGAGCTTCCACTTCCTGGCCTCTGTTCTCTTCTAGTGCCTTGTCATGATGTGCATGGGTGACTACATCCAAAATCCTGCACACAGAAGGGGAAGTAAGCACAGACGAGACACACACCTGTCTCCCAGGGTCAAGCCAAGAGGTGGAGGTGGCCCACCTCCCCGCTGCTCACTGGCACTAGGTCACATGGTCCCATGAAACTGGGGCTGAGTCACAGCATTCTGCTCAATGCCATGAAGAAGCCAGCATTATTTTGGGGAAGAGCTGATTCGCTCAGTCAGCAGAGTAATGAAAACTATGTCTGGAAGCGTAATAAAGTTAGTTTGGGTAGTTCCCAAGTGCCTGTGAAGATTGTACTTTGTCCTAAAATACATGTCCTAAAATGCTTTCTGGAACATGGAATAAGTGTGATGATTATTTTGACAGCAGTGGCAATTATTAAAGTTACAGCAGAAATCCAGGGTAATAAAGTAACAAACAAGCGTGGATGACTGTGAGTAAAGGAGAAGGAAAAGGGAGACAGAGTGATCCTAGTACTGGGCTGGGAAGATGAAACGGGGTGGGTGTGTGCACGCGCGTACACACACACACACACACACACTGGCCCCTGTCATCACCACGTATGGCACTGGAGGTCTCTGGCACTGCGTTCTGAGGAAACAACCTTCCTTCCACCACCACCACCCCGCCTCGAAAATGGGACACTTTGGAGTTTGATGTAACAGCTAACATGTTTTGAACACTTTACATATATCGTTATCCAAAAAGAGAAACTTTATTTTCTTCATTCTGCTATGAAGAAACTGACAATTGGAGTTTGACTTGGACAGAAATTAAGTCACAGTAAGAGTGAGGGGAAGCCTGGAAGCCTTGTGGTTGAGGTTAGGCATTTGCCCTGCCCATGGCTCTGCAGCTGGGACCCTGTTTCAAGTCCCCGACACTGCATATGGTCCCTGAGCATTGTCAGGAATCGCCCCTGAGCACCATCAAGTGTGGCCCCAAGCCCCAAATAAATAAATTAATTTAAAATCACATGTATTATTCTAAATTATTTGGGCCAGAGAGATAGTACAGGGTTAAGGCATGCCTTATACACAGCAAACACCAATTGAATACCCTGCATCACTTCATGAGCATTGCTAGGAGTGATCCCTGAGCACCACTGGATGTGACCCCCCCCTTCCAAGATGAGTTCATGATAGTGAGTAATGGGAAAATGTAGGCAACAGTTGTTGCTTGCTCCAGCGAGTGTGGCTATGAAGTAGGCAAGAGACAGACCTTGGATAGATGGGGAAACATCAGCAGCTAAGTAACGTCTAAGCTTTGTTGAGGACTTCTGACATCTGACCAGTGGATGAGGAGCTTGATAATGACAGCCGAGAGTGTTTTCTCCAGCATTCTCTCTCTCTCTCTCTCTCTCTCTCTCTCTCTCTCTCTCTCTCTCTCTCTCTCTCTCCCCTCTCTTTCCCTTCCTCCCTCCCTCCCTCTCCCTCTCCCTCTTCACCCCCACCTTTTCAGCCTCCCCATACAATTTTAGTTATTTTGTTTCTGCATGTTTGAAGGCTTAATTTGAGCCTAAGTACTTCCCCGTGTATTTACTATATGTAAACTTCTTTAGCTCAGTGACCACTTTTGTGCTTTTCTGTTTCCGAAAGGGTTCCTAATGTATCCAGTTAGACTCACAGTACCACAGGTGCTTCCCTGAGCACAGCCAGGAGTAAGCCCTGAGCACCGTTGGGTGCAACCCAAAAGAAGAAACCGGTTTCTGGTACTAGACATGTACACAATTGAAAGTGTTAATGACATTGAATATTTTGTTGAGTTAAATATTATAATAAAAGTTTACTCAAGGATATATTTATTGGATATAGTGAAATAATCACACAGGAATTCTTTTCCTTGTTTTCTTAAATTTCTAGATTTGTCGCTGTTTAGCTAACAGATTGATGATAGGAAATGTTTTTCATTCTTCTGAATTTCAACACCATACTATTGTATTAAATTTAAGCTCGACACTTTCTCAACAGGTAGATGCTGGCTGGATTGGATTTTGGTCCATAGTCGGAGGCTGCATTGTTGGAATAGCTATAGCAAGGTGAGTATTTCATGTTAAAGCGAGTGGACAGAGGCTTGTCTTACACACGGCGGCTTCAGGGTCTGTCCCTGGCACGACAGGTTTCCCAAGCACTGCGGGAGGGAGCCCTGAGCACAGAACCAGGAGGAAGCCGTGAGTACTGCTCAGGCTGACAAAACAAAACAAAAAAAGAACAGTCAAATTAAAAGCCCAAAGGAAAAATTGGTTTCTCTAGATCAGTGTTCAGGAAAGGCAAACAGGCAGAAATCTGGAAAGGACATTTGTTTTGCTACAGAAAAATTCCTGTGCAGTAGACAGTATTTGTGCTACGAGCAGCCTGTTAGGAGTAGTAGCCTGTCACAGAATGTTTGAGGAGACCAGATATATATATATAAATAGATAGATAGATAGATAGATAGATATCTGCCCTTCAGATATAGATATAGATAGATATAGATATATCTCCAGTGTGATTAAGATATTTCTTAATGTTGTTAAGAGAACCCCTTAGATAGATAGAATCCAGAGAGAGATGATACAGTAGTAAAGGCAAACTGAAAGTGACTAAGAACTGAAAAGAGATGAAAACAGTCATATTTTCATTTGTAAGAGTTCTGTAGACTTTTCCGCACAAAGGCGTATCCTGATTAACAGATGCTTATTCCTGGGTCTTTCTGTCATATACCTATGACTCTCCCATTTTAATGAAAAATATTGTGAAGAGTTGCAGGTTCATTAAACTCTCTTTAATCTTAGCAGTCACAACCTCTAATTTTTAGAGTCATAAGAAGGGGAAAAAGGCTCATTCTAAAAAGAGAAAAACTTGAAAATGTCATTCACTCACCTATAAAACTATCCATAGTATATCCAAAGAGAAAATGTTATGAGATAATGTTCTTTAACTTCCTAACTCATTTCATCCTGTTTAATGGGGAAAAAAAATAACAGACAACTTTACCAGTAAAATATAATTACATATTTGGGCAAGTCAAGTCATCTCAATTATCTCAGTATCCAAATACTTAAACCTAATTGACACAGGGAAATAGTATAGCTAAACCTTACAGTTTGCATAATGTTTCTGGCATAATGAAAGAGTAAATTAGTACTGTGATTTCCAAATCACTTTATATGAAATTTTTATAGTTAGGAAAATATAAGAATGAAATCTCAAAAGCTCAAGAAGAAAAATAGGAAGAGAGCTGCTTGCAGGAAGTCTGTAACTGATCCTAAAGTACAATATCTGTCACATTTGATAGGAGTTATACCTAATATTTCTAATTAAATCTCCACACCAATTACCGGGTGCCATCATACACCAAATCCTATTCTGCACAGCAAAGAGACGAAAGAGAGAACTATTATGTTTGAGGAAGGGTGTCTTTTAAATCTCCCATGTGCCCTTTACTTGATCTTCCTTCTATAAACCCTTAATTTTAGCCATATAGAAATAGGAGGGAAAATTAGAGTAAGAATATTCCTGTTTTTAATTTGTTTAAATGGCAGTTCTGAAAAAAAAAGAAGAAATTAAAACACTGCCCTTACTCTGGGATCTGAAATTAGTTGTAGTAGGTATCTCCTTGGCCTGAAATCAATTTTAAAATTGTTTTCAAATGTCAGTTGTGGGAACCCTAGAAGGGAATTTCTTTAAATGCCTGAGTGCTTTGGGTGTTTGTTTTGTAATTATGTTGCTAAAAGACACTGCTGAATGTATTCCCTGGGTCCTAATAGTATACTTTGATGTTCCATTAGCCCATTGGAAAGCTAGTTCCCCAACCCTAGCAGACCAGGCTGGTCATTTGATTCTTACGTGACCTAATTCTGTGCAACATTCTTACTGTTCAGCTTTACTAAAACTCTCTTATAGCAGAAACCAGTTTTTTTTAGTTTATTTATTTTTATAAAATTGTTCGTGATTCAATTCAATCAGCTAATCAGTGGCTGAATACGATAGCACAGCGGTAGGGCGTTCGCCTTACAAGCGGCCAACATGGCCGACCCGAGTTCGATTCCTCCGCCCCCCTCGGAGAGCCTGGCAAGCTACCGAGAGTATTCGATATGCCAGACACAGTAACAACAAAGTCTCCAATGGAGACGTTACTGGGCCCGCTCGAGCAAATCGACGATCAACGGGAGGGCCTTTACCTTTACCTTTACCTTTACCTTTACTCCTACATTAAAAAAAAAATTGTTCGTGATTCAGTATTCCAGCACCAATCCCACCACCATTGTGCCTTCCCACTACCGTTATTTTCAATTTTCCCAACCACCTCTCAAGCCTGCCCTATAGGAGCCCTGAACAATTTATTTTATATTGCTTGTTATAATTCACTAAAAAAGGCCCTCCCGTTGATCATCGATTTGCTCAAGCGGGCCCAGTAACGTCTCCATTGGAGACTTTGTTGTTACTGTGTCTGGCATATCGAATACTCTCGGTGGCTTGCCGGGCTCTCCGAGAGGGGCGGAGGAATCGAACTCGGGTCGGCCATGTTGGCTGCGTGCAAGGCAGACGCCCTACCCGCTGTGCTATCGCTCCAGCCCATAATGATCAAAAATTATTTCCTTAGAAGAAAGTGTGTGACTGATGTTGTCTCTCAGCATGGATCAGTAATCCCTTGGAGAAGAGATTACTAACATGTGGTTACCAGTTAAGCCCAGTATGTTTATTTTTTTTATTTTTATTTTTATTTTTTTTTTGCTTTTTGGGTCACACCCAGCGACGCACAGGGGTTACTCCTGGCTTCGCTCTCAGGAATTACTCCTGGCAGTGCTCTGGGGACCATATGGGATGCTGGGAATCGAACCCAGGTCGGCCACGTGCAAGGCAAACACCCTACCCGCTGTACTATCACTCTAGCCCCTATATTTTCTTAATCAAGATTGGTTGCCTTCTACTTTACATCCCATTCAATGTGAAATAAGTTTATTCTTTCATACTAGGCCTCTTGTCTATCTGACAAATTCATGTAGCATCCCAAAATATAAATCAGAAAAATATTTGGTGAACCTAGAATCAAAATACTTTTTGGATTTTCTTCAGGGACATTGTTATCAAATTACGAAACCTTTTCCAACGTCCATAAGAATTTTCCGCTGTGAAAATCAGCATAATTCACTGTGCAGAAGTGCATCCATTTTTCCTACCAAAAGATGGCATCAGCTCTCACAGAAAGTCATTTCAGACTAGATGTGGCTTATGGACGTGTAACTATATCATAAATAGCAAATACTAACTATATTTTAAACATTGACTATATCATATTAAGTGCACAACAAAGGATAATACTGAAGGTCGTATGATTATAATAGAAGTTAAAATCATCTTTGAAGACTTAGGAAGCCAGATGAAGGTCATAACTGAAGTGGAAATCAAATTTTTCAGAATCTGAACAGTTCCAAGAATTATGTATAGGCATAGCCAGAGAGTTTGCTCATCAACCAACAATTATTCAGCAAATGGGGAGGAAGAATTGGTAAGTGGAAAAGTCTTGGGTCATAACTAGCCAATATGCATGACCAGATATCTTTTCATTTCATATTAATCCAGTAAAAGATGAGAGTTTAGAAAGACAGCCACAAGCTCTGTGGAATCAGAGCTTAGTCCTCCAGAGCAAGATTTCGCATGAGGTTGGCATGGAGAATCTGAGCTGGAACCTAAAGGACCGAGTCCGAATAAGCAGGAAGGAGCAAGCCGAGTGGCTCTGAGCCCATCTCCCACAGAGCAAGCCCCATTGCTGTGGGAAGCCGCCTCTGCTCTTCCAAGAAATGGAATCGGGCTGCCCAGCGAGAGAAGAGGCAGAGGAAGTGTGCAAACACACCAGGCCAGGCCTCAGTGTGCTGGCACAAGTGTTTTGTATTTGTTGAGTCCAGTGAGTCTGAATTTTAAGAGTGCCATCTTTGAGAATAAATTCAGCTCAAAAATAAGTGTCTACTCTTTCTAGGATATTTGGAAGCTAGAGGGGAAAAAAGAGCTAGAAGGGCAGTAAATAGTGGCATTTTAAAAATCTCGAGTCCAGGGCTGGCAAGGTAGTAGAGTAGAAGACACTTGTCTTACATGCAGCTGACCCAAGTCTACCACATATGGTCACCTGAGCACAGAGCCAGGAGTAAGCCCAGAGCACTGCTGGGTGTGGCCCAAAAACTAAAAAATAAATAAAACCTCAAACTCATCCGTAATCTATAGATCTCAGAGGTCACATTTTCTGTGTTTTTTAAGAGATCAGAACATGAAACACAAAATTAGTTTTCACATACACAAAAAATGTGTCAGTATTTAAAAGCTAAAAAAAAAAAAAACCCTTGCCTTGAAAAGAATTCTTGGTTATTTCTTCAAGAAATATTGTTTCTTAAATTGATTTAGATAGTACTTTGATTTAGATAGTACTTTGTAATGAAATTCTAGTAGAATTAATGGAATTTTGTTTCTTTTCAGGTTTGCAGATTTTATCAGGGGTATGCTGAAACTAATCCTTCTCCTCCTGTTTTCTGGGGCTACATTATCATCCACGTGGTTTACCCTGACCTGTTTGAACAGCATCACGCACCTACCTTTGACCACAGGTGAACAGCCTAATTTGAACTCTAATCATATATTTTCAGTTCACAGAAGTACATGTACTCTGACAGAAGGATTTTGCTTGCTTTCCGTAAGTAATTATTGTACAGATTTTTTAAAGTTCCTTGTCTTAAAAAGAGCCCAAGAAGTAACCAAAAATATTTTCATCTGTATTTTACATATGGAAAAGAAGCATAATCTCTAAGCTTGAAGAGTAGTATAAAAAATGTTTTTCTTTAAAATGTTTTTTTATATCCTTTCAAAATTCTTAACAGTATAATTCAGATTTTTACCTTCTTTATAATCTTAACATCATTGTTAAAACACTAAGGAAAACAAAGGCAAATTTTATTGATACAAGGCTAGAGATAAGATATGGCAAGTAAGGTGTTTGCCTTGTGCCCAGCTGACCTGGGTTCAGTCCTGAGTACCATGTATAGTTTCCCTGTTGCCCGTACAGAAGTGACCCCAGAGCTCAGGACCAGGATTAAGTCCCAAACACAGCTGGGCGTGGCCCCAAAATAAAAATAACAACAAAGCAGCAGTGCTTGAATTACCCTCAGCTAATTACTTGAACCAGGACCTGTAGCTTTGGAAATGCCATCGGAATTACCCATGTTATCGATAATTTACCTCGCTCATCTAATTAATCTGAAATGTTCAAAATTCGGTTTTATTGTTAATTATAATCTGGGGGTTTATTTAGTTTCCTATGCCTGATATTAACAAGTGACCGTAAACTTAGTGACTAACAGTACCATACATTTATTATCTTACTTTTTTGTAAGTTAAAAGTGCAGCTCAGGGTTTTTGTTTTGTTTTGTTTTGTTTTGTTTTGGAGGGGTGGGGAGGTTGTTGTTTTAGGGCCACACCTGGTGATGTTCAGGGGTTACTCCTGGCTCTGCACTTAGGAATCACTTCTGATGGTGCTTGAGAGATCACATAGATTTCTGGGGATCGAACCCATAGATTGCTGGGGATTGAACCCAAGCTGACCGTGTGCAAGGCAAGTGCCCTGCTATTGTACTATCTCTCTATCCACAAGCTACTGAAGTTTTATTAGACCAAAAATCTGAAAATCTGGATGTGAGCAGACTCTCAGAAGGAGCCTGGTTCCTTGTGTGTTCTCACCTGTGTGGTCCGAGAGCATCACTGGGCCTAGAGCTTCTTTCCTCTCTTGCTAGCAGCACCTCCGTGGTCAGGTCCTCATCACTTTGCTTTTTAGTCTATGTGTTCCATGTTACACCTCCTTTTTTTTTTATTAGTGAAACACCATGAGGTACAGTTGTAGATTTACAATTTTTGTGCTTGGGTTTCGATTATACAATGATCAGATACCCATCCCTCCACCAGTGCCCATTTTCCACCACCATGGATAATATCCCCCCCACCCCCACCCCCCCATCCCCGCTGCCTCTGTGGCAGGGCAATCCCCTGTGTTCTCTCTCTCCTTTTGGGTGTTGTGGTCTGCAAAAGAGGCATTGAATGGCAAACATGTTCAGTCCATAGTCTACTTTCGACATGCATCTCCCCTCCTGGGAGGATCCTCCAAACACCCTTTATTTGGTGCTCCCTTCTCTATCTGAGCTGCCTTTACACCTCCTTTTGACTCTCCTCCTCTCTAATTTTGGATCACTATTAAGGATGCTTGTGATTTCCTTGAACCCACCCAGCTAATCCAGGATAACCTTAGAATAAGATTAACTGGGAGGCCGGTCCTCCCTAACTATAGCTCCGGGAACCCAGGCCGCTCACAGCTGCATCTGGCCTGTCTCTGCAGGCTTGAGGGTTCAGTGCCCACGCAGTACTGCTCAGTGTGGGGGCACCAGGACAGTGCCTGGCAGCGGTGGGAGCTGGAGCTACATACATGCCAGGCATGTGCTCCAAACCTTTAAGCTTTAAGACCCCTAAGGGGCCAATTTTAACTCACCTGATTAGCAGCCTTATTCCTTTTTTTGTCACGTAAGAATTTCCAGGGAAGGGTTCGGATAGTCTTCTGCCTACCCACAGACTCTTTTTATGAATGACTGTGGTTGGGGCTAGAGCGATAGCACAGTGGGAAGGGCATCTGTCTTGCACGCGGCCAACCTGGATTCTATTCCCAGCATCCCATATGGTCCCCTGAGCACCGCCAGGAGTAAATTCCTGAGTGCATGAGCCAGGAGTAACCCCTGTGCATCATCAAGTGTGACCCAAAAAGGAAAAAAAAAAGACTATGACTGATTTGTTTTGTTTTGGGTTTTCGTATTCCCTTTCCTATCTCTTTTGTTGCTGCCTACAGTCATGGCCAGCATACACACGTGATGCAGTGCTCCTGGGCTGGGTTGACAGTTTGCACATTTGCTCGCCAGGGGTCCCACTCTGTATTGTGGTATTTGCACACACTTGGTTGTGGTGTTCTGGAGATCCCATATTCGATGTTATCAGGGAGATGACAGCTGCTGAGGGCCCAACTGAGCACGTAGGGCAGAGCGAGGGATGGAACTTGGTTCACTGACCTCAGGTTTGCAGGACAAGTATATTTGCCACTGAACAGTCCCCACGCCTAGACCATCGCAGACTTTATCAACCAACAGGGGCCTGATATTGCTGCTGCTTTTCATTTAGCAAGAGGTTATTTCAGACACTTATTTTTATATTCCATTTTCCAGTTATCACCACTTTTTAAATGGTGTGTTTAATGGTAAGGGTATTCGTCCTAGAGGTAAACTGTAAGGTGTTTTTGGTTATGAGAAGGAAGCATTTCCATGGGTCTGAGTCAGCCATTCGAGAGGGCCTTGGGGGTCTGTTACCAAGTACTCTCCAGGACAGGACCCCACTCCTTCTCCTGCCTGTAATTGAGGTACATGCATGCCCCTCTCTGAATGTATGGGATGCATCATAAAAGCACCAGCACTTTAAACACCAGAGGCATCAAGTCTTTCAAGGACACCATGTATTTGAAGATAATGTTTGACAGTATAATTTAGAGCATGGAAATAGGTTGCCATACTCCGTGATTTCCAGACTTCACCAGAGTTTGCTGTGATGACCCAGCCAGCCTGGACCAACACAGCAAACTCACCAAGCAAACTCACCAAGATGCCTTATTTTATGTTTAGTGGGGGTGCGGAGCTTGGACCACACCCAGCTGTGCTTTGGGACCACTCCAGGACCAACCCTAGAGGTGACCATATGTGGCGCTGAGGATTGAACCAGGGTCTGCTGCTTGCACAGAATTCACCTTAACCTCTGTACTATCCTGCCAGCCCCAGCATGGTTTATTTTAAATTTCCTCAGGAAACATGGGGTAGTTAACACCTGTCAGACTGTGCATGCCTCTAGCTCAAGGGAGGGTACAGCTTCCTTCCATCTGGGATTTTGATGCTGCCATTTCTTTGCCAAGTTAGGGTTCCTTTTGTTTTGTTTTGTTTTTGTTTGGGGGCCACGCCCGGCAGTACCCAGCCTTGCTCCTGGCTCTGCTCTCGGGGATCAGTCCTGGCGCGGCTCTGGAGACTGTGTGGGATGCTGGGAATTGAAACCAGGTCAGCCACATGCTAGGCAAGCACCTGCCCACTGTACTGTATTGCTCTGGCCCCAACCAAGTTAACTTTTCTATAGTTTGGTACTTAAAAGCAAATAATCAATGTGGAACAGAAATGAGGGTGGTGGTCTCAACCAGATTCCAAGATATGAAGATATAAGAATTTTATTTATATCAGATGCATAAGTAGTTGTGATTATTTTAGAATCTAATTAAAACACTTCTTTGAATACATGGGTATTTTCTCAATTATTAGGACTTGTATAAGTAAAAAATTTTTTGGACCTACTGATGTAGTTAGCAGAATTGTTAGCTATTTTTGTTCTTGAGATACCATGAAAAAATTACAGGGATGTGTAAGCGTGCTAAGAAACCTCTGCACTTATCCACCTACCTGCGACCCTCTCTTAAACGTTCATCGCTTTGCCTGCAAAGCCCAGTTGTTCAGAATAATTATGTTTGTATAATGTGTACACTTTAGTACAACAAACATTCCTGTTTGGGGATTTTGAGCAATTTCAGTGAGTATTCAGGGCCAGATTTTCTATTTTACTTAATTCTGATATGATTTCATAATTCAGCAATTGTACGGCACTCTGGTGGAGCAGTTCTAGTTTACAACTCTTCTTATTCATGGCCTTACACTCAGATTTTTTTGTGCTACTGTATGTCAAGTATGCATCTGTTAGATTTTACAGGAACACAGCCATGAGCACATAGTGAACAGATTTCTGTCTCTTGATTAAAGTGTAAAATATTCATTATAAGAGTGTACCTTCATTAAATTTTATGTATTTTCTATTTAACATGATGAAATTAACAGTTTCATCTCTGGGCAGAGGCATTAGGAATAAATTTAATTTTACCTCCTTTTTAGCTGGATACAGAGCATGTCTTTCTTTTATAATCAGAGGAGGAAAGTATATGCATTTTGAAAACTTCTCTTTTAAACTTGAGAAGAAAATTTATGTAATTGACCCAGGTCAGTACTATGTTTTCCAATCTGTGAAAATAACTCAATTGAACAGAAAGGAAAGCCGAATTCTAAATTAAATCAAGACCAGAATTGAAAGGTTGGCTTTTACGTGACCATTTTATACCACAGAATTTTTAAGTCCTGCTGTTGTTTTCCTTTGCAAGTCAGTTTTCAGAGGTCACTTAGAAGCTCCTGAGATGTGAATTTTTAATTTGGGGCAGAGGGAGGATGACACCTGGAAGAGTTTAGGTTGCAGGCTCAGGTAAACCAGGTGGTGCTGGGGATCAGCTCCAGGAGCACGGGAAGAGCCTGGCAGCAGCAGTAGTGGTCTTGAATACGTTGCCTTGAGGACTGGATTTGTGCACCGTCCTTCTTTGAATGACCACAGTGTGTGTTTTTCCTTCTTTCCTGATGCCACTTAATAATTTTAGGTCTTGTGTCTTCTACCACTCCGAAAATCTAGAGCATGAATTCAAAACGCATATCATTTATCATATGGCTTATAA